TTAATAATTAATTTTTATTTTCAAATGCAAGAATTACAGAAAGTAGGGCGGATATGAGCTGGTTCCTTGTACCATTCAGGATCCCTCTCCACACCCCTTCTTCTATAAAACGTGTCTTGAATAACTTGTTGTCTTCCAAATCCGGTTTTCTTTATAGTTTTCACATAATTCCACATTTTCCAGCCGTACTCAAAGCTACTAACTTCGGGAAAATAAAATCTAGAAAGCACAGAATTATGAGACTTTTATAATTATGACGATAGTTTTCATATAGAAAATTTACACTCCAGAAAAAATTATCAGTAATTGTACAATATATTCGAAAAAAATGGCTATGAAATAGAGATCGCTGTCATTTTATATGGGGAATGTCATCAATCATAATTTCCAAGACAGCTGGACACCGTTTTTTCGATCATACGGGATATGTTACCGACAAAGTATAAATTAGGAGGTAAACCTCCAAAGTATAAACCTAGTATATGGCTATAGTATTATACAGGGTGATCCGAACTGTATTCAGGAAACTTCGGCGGTATGTTCTATAGATAAAAATAAGTAAAAAAAATCGTATAAATGTATGTCCTAAAATGCTTAGTACCCCCACCAAGTCGGGTACACAGCCGTACCATCCTTTTCTCGAAGGTATTAGCGGCACTTTTGACCACCCTGTAGCTTCGTTGTGGGTAAAGCAAGAATATTATTTTTTACTAAACATGAAGACATACGGTAGCTGGCTAGATTACTTAAATATCTAGTAATTATACCTCGTGGTTTATGAATTATCGCTTGTCAAATTTTCGGGCTTTTCAGTCACAGAAAAGCTCTTGAAAGAAAACGCCTTGCGTGACCATCTTTTGATGCGTGTCGAATACTCGTCAGCGAGTAATGGCAGTATGTATGTATGTAGTAATGGAAAAAAAAAATCTCGAAATATCCTTATAGATTAAAAGTTAGCTGTGTAGCCGCTAACGGTAATTGACTTTCCGGCGATGGTAATAGGAGAACCGGTAATAGGATATTATTGCTTTAAACATTTGAATCTTTATATAAAGGCACCTGCTTTATCTATGTAAAATATTATCAGCGTTACAGTATCATTTGAAAAGTGGTAGCATCTTTGTTATTTTCAATGGAACACCCAGCATATTATTACATTATTGGAAACTACTTTCATATCTCATAATTTTTCTATTAAACTAACCCAATACTAACCTATACCCATCTCTTATAGTTTTCGAGATAAAAAAAATATGTGAAAATTGACAAAAACATGATTTTGAATTCGCAATGATAAAATAATTAATTGAACATTTTTAAAGTTGAAATTTGTGTCGAAAACAAAAGTTGTTAGAAAACTAGAGATTAATCGATTTGATATTATCTGGTTTTATACAATAATTCAAAGTTTCTAAATTATTGCTAGTCAAACTTGTTATAGTAGAAAAATCGTCACCTATCTTCCGGTAATAATTTAATCCTCTTGTGCAGATAATTAAGTCTACCATCTTTATTACTACCAGTGTAGATCAATTTCTTAACTGCTGGATCGACGGGTTTCATTATCTCTTGCAAGTTTCCTGTAAATTCTGGTACCTGCTCCTCCGTCTTAATTCTAGGATACTTTTTCAAATCTTGAAACCCCGTATTCTGTTCTATAACAAATTCTCACTTTGGTAAAACATAATTATGGGTATTTAATTTTATATTCAGTTTTATTCACTCAACAACTATTAATTATAAAACTTTAGAAAACTTAAAAAATGTCTAATGGTATACTGCAATTGAGTGAAAAATAATGTTATAGTACATTTTTTATTTCTATTATAAACTCAGATGCAAAAAAAACGCAACGGACAAATTTGCTGTATTATAATTATATCAACTTTAATTTGTAAACTCAGTTTTTTATAAACTTTAATATTTGGCATATTAGACAGGGTTAATCAAAGAGTTGTTTTTTTACCCTAACTTTGACACACCCTGTGCAATAATTTCGTGTATAAATTTTCCTGACATATAATTTTAGGGGCAGAACCTCATGTCTCCTGAGCATTTTATTTTTTGGATCATGTCAATACATGCCTTGGTTAATTTTTAAGAGCGAAATGAATTTGCCACCAACAATTTGCAATTTTTTTAATTATAATTTATTTCTGAATTTTTTTTTCGATATGACAAAGCAGCTTTGGTGATTATTGTGAACTAGTATATACTACTATGAACTGCCCATCATATTCGATGTTTGGTTTGGTTTGGAAAGATATAAACATTTTAAATTTGACCAAGAAATTTTCTGTTGCGTTTTTTTTCCATCTGAGTGTATTCTAGAAAAAAAAGTAAATATTTTCTTTTTAATGATCACCGTCTATCATCATCCAGCAAAGATTTTTTCTCTTAACAAAAATCTATTTATTGAATTTATCATTTCGTGTTTATTTCAATCTTTTCCCGAAATTTTCCAATTTTACGCTACCTGTTTCATTTCTTCCTTAATTTCGTCAGGCACAACTCTCGATGGAACACTGTTGGCGATTTCGTTTAATCTTTTTTCGTTTACTTTAAACCATTTGGCTTCGCAAACCTGCCTCTTTCGCAATATTAGTTGCCCAATCTTGGCCCATCGCAACTCTTTCCGATTTCGACATGGTTGATAATTACTATAAACCGATTAACGAAAATTTAACAAGCAAAAAAAAATCTACGTACGTTTATAGATGGCAAAATAATTCAATGTCACATGTCAAAAGACATATTGCATATGACAAACCTATTTTTATACCGGGAGATTCATTGGAAGCATTATAAATCCCATGGAAATTTTGAACTGTCCAAATATTGACTCATCTGTTGATTTTGCACCCAAGTCGTAAATAGGTTTTTTAAATGACCTACCTACCACCACTTTTTATGACCACTGCGAAATTTGAACAATTTTGAAGAAGCCTATTTCGAGTAATTTAAGATAAACTGCATCTATTTTTAGATTAAAACTGAAGAGGTAACAATTAATGCAAAACCAGGCAAATGCCACAACATACCTTAAAAAATTCCGAAAAGTGTTTAAAGCGTCCATTTTCAAAGTAATCATTGCTATCTTGTGAGTTTAATTTAAGTTTTATTTACTCGAACCCGTGATAATTGTGAAAAAGATGCATTAAAAATTTAAAAAGCTGTGCTGTGCTGTGAACAACTGCAAAAACCATCGTCGATCGTGGCATAACGTCGGTTCCCAATATTTCATAGGTATTTCATACATGTCCTTATATAAAATAAAGTTTCTTGTATACAAGACACTGTATTTTATTTATAAAATTAAAAGAAAATAATAATAAATTTGAATAAACGATATTTGGCGATATAATTCCGGAAAAAGCCGAACCGCTCCGAAATTTTCAAAAGTTTTGGATCGCAACCGTTGCAAGAATAGCGCCAAATAGTGTTTACATTGTCCTTATGGGCACTTTCCAATCTAAACTTGTTTCATTTATCTTTGCATAAACGCAGCGTTAAGTTTTTTCGTATTTCGAAGAAGTTTTAAATTACAAAAATCCGTTTCGAGCACAATAACTGTAGGTATCACAACGTAGTAGAGTAGACAGCCAAATAAATTGCATTTGATCATGAACGCGTTTGCTTTTTATTGCTTTTAAACCTATTTTAGTTTAACTATTTTTACGCTTAAATTTAGCAACTGTTTTTGAAAAAAAGAAACTTTATATTTTAAAAGTATAATTTAATAGAAATACAATTACTTTACTTAATAAGATGATAAGAAATGTTCTTATGCGGTAAATAGCTAAGTAATGTAACTACAGCAAAAATAATATATATAAATATAAAAATAAAGCGTACTACTGCGTTCTTCGTTGCCTTCTGGCACTTCTTGATAATTTTATATTTAAATGAATGATATTTATGTTCCTTTAAAATTCTTGGTATCGTACTTTCATGTTTTTACATTTTCTCCTATGCGTCTTATATTAATATTCTTCTTTTCTATTAAATATTCTTTCTCTTCAAACATGAATAACTTTTTGGATTGTCGACCTGATGGGAATTGATTTATCAAGAAAATTAACCGAAAATATATCAGATACACTGTCTAAGATATTTCCTGGGCATAGTAGCATTTTCATGGTGATTTTTTCTTCAGTTGTGTAACTCATAACATGTAATTACAATAAAGTATTATTAATGTTAAATATTATCAGAATTGTTACATGTTCAGAAGCAACCAATATCTGGAAAGTTCAAAATTTGCGTCAGATTACCTATATCTGCAACGACAATGCACCACCCAATAGTGGCCTTAATAGATCTGAATCTGATTTTTTATATTATAAGTCATTTATCTATGATATGAATTTAGCTTGATTATAAATATTATTACAAGTCTATTGATACTAATTTGGAAATTCTAGTTTTCCTAAATTTTATTCCAGTACTTCTTGCACTTTGATGTCTTTAATTTTTTCTGTCATAGCTACGATAGCAATAAGCTGGAGAGAGAATCGCTCCAATAAATAATAAAAAAAACAAATTAACTGCCTTCTCAGCCAATATCATTTTTGGTACCACTACATTGGGCGAGTTATTTGACCCAGCTTAACACGATCTTATTACAACGAGTGCTTGGTCACATTCCTATGCAGACGTAGTAGTTATCTTAGGTCTACATGGAAATAACATATACAGGGTGGCGCACCTCATTCGCCTCGGTTGATTATACGAAAACGGAAAGACGTAGAAATAAAATATTTTATGGGTATATGTGGGGATACAATGTGCACAATTTAAAACTATTTTGAAATATACAGGGTGTTTCAGACTAAGATCCATACCAAAGTTATATTTTTTCTTATGGAACACCCGGTATTTTATTTCATTTTTGGATTCTTGGGCCCAAAAAAAGGCATTTATTATAAGGGTTAAATATGTTTAAAATCTTTAGTTTTTGAGATATTTAAAGATATTTAAATTTGCATGCTACAATAGAATAGA